ACCGCCACGCTGACCAACCTACGCTTCGCCGACGACATGCTCCTGACCAGCCAAGCTCTCCCGCGCCTGACAGCGATGCTTGACGACATTGTGCGCGCGACGAGGCTACACGGGCTCGAACTACACCCAAACAAAACCAACATACTGAGCAACCAGACGAGAAGAACAGGAAGGGCGAGCTCACGCACAGCACGTTTCCAAGACATGGAAATAGAAATCGTTCCATACGAGGGCAATATCAAATACCTCGGCCAATAGATCAGCTTCCACGAACCGATGGAAACGGAAATCCATCACCGCACGCGAGCTGCATGGGCATCATTCACGTCTCGCAAGCAGGAACTGACCAGCAAACCCTACCCACTGGCTCACCGACTCCGACTTTTTTACAGCACTGTAGCACAAACAGCGTTATACGGAGCAGAGACGTGGACCCTCACGGAGCCTCTGCGGCAACATCTACGACGGACACAGCGACGCATGCTTCGCATGATCATCAGAACGCCACGGAGACGCACAACGAAAGAAGCCGGCCCTCACAGCGGCCAGGGACCTAATCTCGACGGCGCGAACAACTCAGCACAAGACCACGAATACCGCACCAACAGCACTAGCGACGACGCAGACACCAACCCATCACAGTGTGATGCACCTGACACGCCTGACAAGCACAGCGAAGACGGCGAAGACAGCACCACCGCAGACGAAATGGAACCATGGGTCGACTACATCCAGCGAGCGACACGACGCGCAGAGCACCTCATGAAGCTCCACCACATTGACAGCTGGGAGACGCTGCACAAACGAAAAGTATGGCGCATGGCTTCACGAGTCGCAAACCACGACCGGACGAGGTGGACATGGCGAGTGCTGCGCTGGCACCCAGTCCTCAACCCGCGCCAGCGGGGACACAGGCAGCGCGGTGGCCAAAACAAGCGTTGGGACGACGAAATCACTACATACTTACGTCAACGCAGACCAGACCTCCACCGACCGCCCCGCCCACGCAAGCCCATTCGAAAGGACAACCGAACGACATCACATGGACGAAAACAGCCCAAGACACCGAAGCATGGGCAGCGCTCGAGCACCACTTCACCGACCTCACGTCGACCAGCACCCGGGACTCAGACCAATGACGTAAAACCTCAGCGAACGTCGAGACGTCTCGCCCAACCCGCGCCGACACCGACACCAAGGACTTTCTTTTCCTCCTCCTCCCCCTCTCCTCCTAACCTGTTATATGTCTCGCATTGCATGTATCCAGACACCTCAGATCCTAGAGGCCATGGCCTCACCCACCTGGTCTGCTCTAGGCCCGGACGCTGTCCGCAACGGTGGTCGCATCGTCGCATCGCATCGCGTAGCATTCTCCTGGTCCTCCTCCGTCCACACTGCATCCGCGGCCCCTGCACCAGACCCGTTCTAGGTCTGTTGTCCTCCTCCTCCTCCTCCTCCTCCTTCTCTTCCTCCTCCTCCTCCTCCTTCTCCTCCTCCTCCTCCTCCTCCTCCTCCTCCTTTCCTCCCCCCGCTCTCTTCCTCCTCGCACGTCCCCCTCCTTCTCCCCCACCTCCTCCTCCATCATCTTCCCCACATGTGCTTCTGCGGGCAGGCTGGCCCCCCCCCCTTCGTCGCCCTCCGAGTTTCGCCCGATGCTTCTTGACGCCGCATGGCGCCAACGCTTGACTTCCCCAATTGCTCCACGGGTGGGGCTGCACGCCGGCAAAACTTGCCCGATGTATGCACGCATTGAGCACAAGCCGCGTTCAACATTTCCTTCTCGCCACAGCGCCGCGCACGCCCGTCTCAAATACTCCTCAGGGCTATGCGTCTGTACCCTCCTCCTCAAGCTCGTCAGCGAAAGAAATCCAGCAATGTCGCAATCGAGTCGAAGGGAAGCCCCCTCCCTTTGATCCCAATCGCCAAACGATCGGTCCAAAACGCCTTCACGCCCTCCAGACTGCCCAGGAGGCCTCCAGGACGCCCCATGACGCCCCAAGACGCCTCCAAAAGCACTCCCGCGAGGGCCCCAAGAGGCCAAATTCATGGATTGTTTTTTTGGTCAACAAAAAAAATTGGGTGTTCTCGCCTTTTCCACTTCCCGCCACTTCAAGACGGCGCAAGAGGCCACCAGGATCGCCCCAAGACGGCCCAAGAGACCTCCAAGAGGGCCCAAAAACAGCCCAAGAGGACCCCAAAACAGCCCCAAACGCCTCCAAGACGGCCCAAGATGCTCCCAAGACGGCTCCAAGAGCGTGCTCAGACGGGGGACCCGAACGGACATTTCGAGCCCTCGGCCCCACAAGGCTCCCAGGAGGCACCAAAAGGTTCCCAAGAGGCCCACACGAGGCCCCAGGAAGCCCGAAGAGGCCCCGAAGAGGCTCCCAGGAGGCCTCCAAGAGTCTTCCGAATAGAGCCCAAGAACCATCCCTGAAGACTCTGGCCCACGTCAGCGTCGTCGTCGTTGTCGCCGCCGCCGTTGTCGTCGTCGTTGCCGCCGCCGCCGCCGTTGTCGTCGTCGTCGTCGTCTCCTTTCAAGGTCGGCTGTACCCGCCGTAAGGCCTTCGCAATACTCCTCACGGCTACGCGGATGGAACGCCTACTATGTTCAGCATGTGTATTGCCTCAACCAACGCCTAGCACCATGTGCACAGTTTTGTCTTGAACGCTTCGAGGAACTACACGGATGGAGCCCTTTGACATTCTGACTATCGCCTGAGACCTTCTTGTGGCTCCTGGCCCCGAAAGCTGGAATCCGGCCAGCCCTCTGGACGCGGGTGGCACAACGAGTTTGCTGTGTCCTCCTCCGAAGCCCCCAGTTTCCCTAGTCGGGCAGGGGGTGGCATTTATCCCTCTGCTCGCTCCCCTGGGTCTGGACCAGGGGGATGCTGAGGGGCGCGAGCTTCCAGGATGGCTCGATAGGGCGGGCTCCAAGAGGCACCCGACGCCCCAAGATGGACTCGAAGATGGCAAAAGGTAACCAATGCTTCAAGGTATCCTCCGACACACCTCCAGGATGCCCCAAGACGGCTCCAAATTCCCTTGGATGTCGCTGGGCAACCTCCCAACACCTCAAATCGTAGCAACATATAAAGGGAATTCCGTGATTGTTTCCTTCTCGTGATTTCGCCTCTAGGATGGCCCCAAGATAGCCCCAAACGGAGCCCAGACATGCCCCACGACGGTCCAAGAGGCCCCCACATGGCCTGCAAGGGCACCCCGACAGGCATCTGCTCTGCCTCCAGGGGCGGGGGAAATCCGAAGTAAGGACCCTCCCCTTGTTGAGCCATGGGGCCCGCGATCGCCTCACAGGGGCCCCAAGACCAATCCCAAGAGCCCCCAAAGAGCCCCGAGAGACCCAAGAGGGCGCCAACATGGGCCCAAGAGTAAAGAGCGCCAAGAGGGCTCCAAGACCGACCCCAAGAGCCCTAAGATGGCCCCGAGAGGCCCAAAGAGGATCCCAAGAAGGCTCCAAAAATCTTACAGTTTTTCGCTCCATTTTGAAGCCCCTGGGACTCTCTGGGCCTCGTGAGGAGTGCTCTGGAGGCCGTGTGGGCCTCCTTGGGAATCCTGGGGGCACCTTGGGCCAGGGTGACTTCTAGCAGCACCCGACACTGAGGGAAAGGGGACTCCATGATGCGAAGCACGAGCCATGGAGGAGAAGGGAAAGACGGCGAAAGAGGGAACCAGTACGGCAGGGCAGAACGGTAAGAAATCTCAGGACCCCCTCCCCTGAGATCCGCCGCTGCGAAGCAGAACCTGCAACGCCGCGAAACAAAACACGGCTGGAGCCCCCCAGGCCCCACCTCTGTGCGGCACCTACAAGACCCGATTGATCTGTGATGGCCCACGGCTGAGCCTAAACGGTGCTTTTCGTTTTCGTCTTGTTTTCGTTTTCCCTCGTTTTGTCTTCAATCCACCTTTAACGCAAAACGAAATCGAAACGAAAACGGCCCACGCAATCGCCAAAACACCGTTTAGGTCCACACCTGTGATGGCCCCTGGGGCCCTAACTAAACTTTGCGAAAACGCCGGGTGTGGAACAATTGCAGCGCCCAGATCTCAAGGTCTTTCGGGACCCGCTTGCTTCATGGCGAGTCGTTGCCCCTGGCTGCCTCGAGGAAGGCCCCGGGCTGGCTCGTCGGCACGGAGCAGCGGATCGACTGCGCCAAGGATCGTCGGAACAGAAGGCCATAGGATAGGATCGTCGGAACATCGGCCAGCATCGACATCGACTTTGATCGATCCGATCGACATGGGCTCTGCTTCTCCTCCCTGCAATTCCCCCCCTGCTTCCCAAAGACCCGTCTCGGGGGAGCGAAAAGGTACCGATACCGCTGCTCCCCGGACCTCTCCTGGGGTGCGTTCTGCCCAGAATGTCGACGAGAATCCAGGACGAGCAACGTTATTGGTATCTTTTCCTCCTCTGACATTCGCTGCACCATGCACCATGGGCGAATCCGATGATTTATCTCATTTTGCCCATACAAGGTCCCCAGAGCCACTTGCCGGAGACAGTTTTTCGCCCCAGATAACTTACCTGACGGCCCCAGGGCCAAGCGAGGGACCCCGGGCGCCGAAAACGACGAGAACTTTCGCCTTGATTTCGTTCGACACTTGCCGGAGACAATTTTTCGCCCCAGATAATTTCCCTGACGGCCCCAGGGCCAAGCGAGGGACCCCGGGCGCCGAAAACGACGAAAACCTTCGCCTTCACTTAAGTTGGGCCTGTCCCCCTACAGGAGGATTTTCGACGAAAAATAAAGAATACCCCAAAAATAATCAAAAAACAATCCAAAAATAGTCAGGGGGCCACTTTTGGAATATTTTTTAACCTTTTTGGGGTATTTTTGGGGTATCTTTTATTTTTCGTCGAAAATCCTCCTGTAGGGGGACACGCCCGACATAACGAAAACCTTCGCCTTGATTTCTTTCGACACGCTGGAGGCCTTGAGCCGGTGCCACCGAACTGCCTCGAATGGGGGGCGCGCGGGCCGATCCTGTTCCTCCGGCTGCGGCTCCTGTCGCGGCTCCGGCGCCTCGCCGCAGGAGGAAGAGGAGGGAGGAGGGAGGAGGGAGGAGGAGGGAGGAGGGAGGAAGGGGATGAGGGGGGGAGAGGGGAGGAGAGGGAGGAGGAAGAGGAGGAGAGAGGAGGAGGAAGGAGGAGGAGAAGGAGGAGGAGGAGGAGGAGGAGCAGGATGAGGAGGGAGGAAGGAGGAGGAGGAGCAGGATGAGGAGGAGAAGTAGGAGGAAGAAGGAGCAGGATGAGGAGGGAGGAGGAAGGACGAGGACCAGGATGAGGAGGGATGATGAGAAGGAGGAGGAGGGAGGAGGGAGGAGGGAGGAGAATGAGGAGGAGGAGGAGCAGGGGGAGGAGCAGGAGGCGGGAGGAGGGAGGCTGGCCCCCCGCGCGCGCTGCGCGCTCAGGGGGGGAGGGTCTTTAAGAAGTGCCCCGGAGCATGCAGTTCTCCTGCTAACTTGCTAGCAGCCAAGCAAGTTCTCCCAAAATTTCCGACCTTCGAACAAAGGCTGCCCAATTGTCAGCGGCGGCCTTCCAAAGCAGGCTTACTCTGCGGCAGCCCTGCAAGAGGATGCTCGTTGCGACGGTATGACAGAAGGATTCCCTTTCAGAACGGCCTTACAAAAGGAGTTCCTTCTGTGGTGGCGTTTTGCCAGAGGACTCTCCTTTGTGGCGGTCTTCCAAAAGGATTTCCTTTTGTGACGGCCTCACACTCGTATTCCTTTTGTGGCGACCACACAACAGGAATTTCTTGTGGTGGCCTTACAACAAGGCTTCCTGTTGTGACGGCCTTACACAAGGATTTTCTCGTGTGGATGACACAAGAGAAAGCCAAGGAAATACTGTGCATATACATATACACCACTTCAAATGAAAGTGTGACAGTTCGCGTGTTTTCAATGATTTGGGTGATGGAGCTTAAAACAAACTGCAACAACTTTCAGCTATAGGGGCTCCCAAACGTTGTAAAACACAGCGTTTTCAGCCATCGGAGCTCTCAAACGCTGTAACACATGGTAAAACACAGTATTTTCAGCCATCGGAGCTGCGAAACTGCGTAAACATAATCTTTGCAAGCTTCGATGGCTGCGAACGATGTGGTTTACAACGTTTGGGAGCTCCGATGGATGAAAACGTAATGTTTTGCAGCGCTTGGCAGCTCCGATGACAGAGGACTGTATGTTTTACAACGTTTGGGAGCTCCGATAGCTGAAAATGCTGTGTTTTTCAATGTTCTCGCCTCCGGCACCTGAATCATTGAAACCATAGCCGTTCTCTCATTTGCAATATTACTAGCACTAATATTATTCCTGTCGTTCTTGTATTTTTTCTGGTTTCCTCCTGTATCACCAACAAAAAGGAAATCTTTTGCAAGGCCACCAAATCAAGACTATTGTAAGGCCGCCACAGAGAAAATCCTGCTGGAAGGCCGCCACACAAGACATCCCATGGTAAGGCTGTCACAAAAGAAAATCTGTTTGCAAGGCCGTTAAATGAGGGAATGCTTCTGTAAGGCAATTAAATAAGGGGATCCTTTTGTACGACTGCCGCAATGACACTCTTCTTGTTGCCAGTCTGCCGCCGAAGAAATCCTGATGCAAGGCCGCCAGACAAGGGAATCCGTTCAAGGCCGCCACATAAAAAGTGCAAGACAGGTGCAAGACAGCTACAACAAGAAAATTATGTTGCAAGGTCGCTACAAAAAATAGTTTTGCAAGTCTGCACGAGAAGACATCATGTTGTACGACCGTTACAAATAAGATGTCAGTGCAAGGCCGCCTCAAAAGCATATGCTGTTAAAAGCCACTGCACGGGGGAACTATGGTGCAAAGCCGCCACAAAAGAAAATCCTTGTGCAAGGCCGCCACCAACGAAAATGTGCACGTCCGTAAGGCAATGTATCATTGCCGTAACCGCCTGAACAACAAATCGCTATGCACGACCGCCGTTTAAACGTATATGTTACAAGGCTCCCGCACACACACACACACACACAGACACACAGACACACACACACACAGAGACACACACACATATCTATAATTATGTATATGCTGCAACGCCGCCGCGGATACGTTTGCAAGACCACCGCAAAATTAATCATGTTGCGAGGCCGCCACAAACGGACATATGTTGTAAGGCCGCCACCAAAGGCACACAACTGTAGTGTTTGTCCCCGGCAAGTTTGATGTGTAGGTGTTCCTCTGGGTCGTACCATGGCGCACACTACGTGTGTTTTATCTCTGCTTCCGTATAGCCGTCCTTTCCCTCGCTGTCCTCGTCCTCACATTCCTCATCCTCCTCTTCTTTCTTCCGATGCTCTCCGCGATCTCCTGCCACACCAATTTCAATGTTTTGTTCGATCGCCATCCTCCCCCCATAGTTCCCGTATCGTGTTCCCCCGCCCTCTTCCTTCGCAAATTGATCATCATCGCCAGCGTCGTCATCCCCGTCCTCTCCCCAAGTTCCATTATCCGCATTGGGTCCTTCTCCCCCCCCCACACCCCAGAGGAAAGGAACTGGGCATGCTGATCCTGAAAGTGGGTGATGGGAATGATGAAGGTGACGATGAACATTCAAGAGCAAATGGTGTGTTCGCATCACAACCAACCCCCTCGTCCTCAACATATTCGTCGTCGCTGGTTCCTCCGCCTCGTCCTCGTCCTCGTCCTCCTCCTCCTTTTCTTTCTTTCGGACGTCCGCTGGCACCACAGTGCGCGTGCTTGGCCAATGGCTGCTCCTCCTCCTCCTCCTCCTCCTCCTCCTCCTCCTCCTCCTCCTCCTCCTCCTCCTCCCCCTCCTCCTCCTCCCCCGCGTGCTCGGATGACGACGAGGGGCGAGGAGCTACTGAACGAGCATGTGTGCTCCTCGTCAGCAACGTCCTTCGTCCTTCCCTGCCCGAGGATGAGAGGCGATGGAGGAGGGGGTGGGACGAGGATGGCGATGAGGAGGAGAAGATAGATGCGTAGCCGCCTTCCTCTCGCCCTCCATCGCCACTCCCCTGCTCCACACTCCCCCTGCATCCTCCGACCAGGCGGATGTGCGAGGATGGGGAGGTAGAAACGGATAATGGAGACGGGGGATGGAGAGAAAGGAGTACGAGGGCCGATAAAGGAAGACAAATGAGAAGAAGCCGAGAAAAAAAGCGGTGGGAACACGATACCGACAACGGGGGGGGGGGGGTAGAATGGGAAGGACTCTCTTTCCGTCTTCGCCCCGTTGCTGCTCTCATCATCCGTTGTGTGATGTTGTTGCATGTGGAGATGGACAAGAGGGCATGGTCCATCTCGCCGCACGCCACCTCGGTTTTCTCTTCCAGCACGTCTTCCATGTCATCAACGGCCTCCTCTCTCTGATTCCTTCCTTCTCATCCCCTTCCCCATCGTCATCATCACAACCACCGTCCGTTAACATCGTCATTGTCACCCGCCTCATCCCTCCTACTCGCGCTCACTCCTGATACGACCGCAAAATCACCCGTCCTTCCCCAGAGAGGAGATACGCCGATGACGGGGAAGGAGGAGAACGTCGTCACTTCGGATCCTCAGGACGGTCAGGTTGCTGGAGTTTGATGTCTTACCTTTGTGGGGTTACTCCAGAGTTCGGGTACTCCACTTTCACCATCTTCTTCGTCGACCCTTCATCATACGCATTACCTACTCGATTGGAATATACCGTGTTCCTGATTCCTCCCTCGTCTTCCCCATCCTTCTTCCCATTAATCCTCATCATCGCCGTTCCCCCCTTTTTCCTCGCGCTCGCCCTCCCGGCCCTTCGTTCCACGACGAGGAGTTGGTGTGCTGGCGATGGGGGGAGAGAAAGTGGCTGAAGATGCGCGTGGCGGAGGATCATGATAATGACGAAGGCGCGGTGCAATGAGAAGAAGAAACGCATGTGGGTAGAACATTTGTTGGCGTCGGTATGGCTCACTCATCTCACGCATACGACCGCACCACCATACTACTTAGATGTACTTCATGCCTTACATTAATCAAAGTCGCGATGGTAGCCCGATTGAGCCCCGCTTCGGTGGCACTTGCTTGATCTGAAACTGATCATGGCCAGTGCACTCACTGCATCGACTGCCTTGCAAATACTGTTCAACCGCATCGTCATTTGCACATGTGCTGATAAGTTCTTGCCGTCGGCGCGCTTCTTCATCTTACGCATGCCACTGCAATCGCACCAGTGCGCTCAACATCATCATATAACAGATAAGCACAAGCGTTGTGGATGCCACGACAATGGACACCCTAACAGTCAGATTATTGAGTTTAGAATGTATTCAAATGTCGGAAACATGTTCTCAGCATGTTTTAACCATGCTTTGCAGGTTTAAAACATGTATAACACATGTTTTAGACATTCGGAAACTATTGGGCAACATGCTTCCTCTCCATTGATCGTCCTCCACAACACAAGCGCCTGCAGCGAAATTCACTGCAAAATCTGCATTTCCAGGGCACTTGTTTAACACCTCCACGGGGTTGGGGAGGGCGCCGCGCGGCCAGCGCAGCGAGCTGGCGCGCGGTTAGGGCACACAACCAGGGAAAGCGGAGAAAAGATGACAAAAGGGTAGACCTGAGGAACAGCAAGAAAGACACGAGGGAGAAAGGAAAGAAGAGACAAGAGGACGGACAAGAGAAACAAAAATATAGACAAGAGGATAAACTCAAGAAAACAAGGATAGACAAAAACAACAAAAAAATAAAGCGGCCGCGGGGGGCAACGCGGGGGAGGTCTCAGGCGTGGAGTCCACACCACGAAGATCCGTGCAATAGAAGGTGTGCGATCAGTCGCGGCTGCCGAAGGCGAAGGCAACGCGATCCCAAGAGATAAGCATGGCGGATAGAGGAACACACAACGGCATCAACATAAACTTTCGGAGCTCCGCGCGGACTTCTTGAATCGGCGCTGAACACCACTCCCTGGCGCGCGGAGCGCGCCAGGCCCTGACTCTGGATTCGGCAATACTTTGGCTGATTGTCCGACCTCGAGCTGTGTTGGAAATCCACCGCAGACGGTGCGAAAAGGTAAGGCGGACATTTCCGCCTCCGAACAAAAACAGGGCGGATGTTTCCACAAAAGACACGAAGGCATGGTGGAAACAGCGACGATCAAGTAGCGCGGAAATCGGCATCCGAGGAGCTTGAAAAATGGGGCGGAATGTCCCGCCCTGCTCACGAACTCACCCAGGATCTGGATCCAGGGAGTAGCCCCGAGGCCTGCCCGGGAAACAGACGGAGGAGCACAACACGGCACAAGCGTGGAACTCTCGGAGCTCTGCGCGAAGTTGCTCGGGTCGGCGCTGGGGCCCTCCTCCCAGGCGCGCGGGGTGAAGAAGCCACGAGAGGGCCTCCTCGCCATGGGCCTCTTGCGGGGGGCGACACCCAGACCCTACACCCCCACCAACCATCGACTCTCCCGAATCGATGGGAGGCGGGGGGGGGGGGTCGGATTTCGCCACGCGTTCGAGGAACTCCGAACCCTGCCCCCGCCGCCCATCGAGTCGCCCGAATCTTTGATCGGCGAGGGCGGGGTTGGGACTTCGCTGCCGATCTTGGGGACCTCGCGGCTCTGCCTGGGCTGAAATCCGCCGATCCGGCGTGTGAGTTTCTGAGAGCGTGGACTTGGGCTCGCTCAAGCTTCGCTCTGCAGGGGGGGGGGGCACGTTATTTCCGACGTCATTTCCGACGTTTTTCGGTACACGGGGATATTTCCGACGTCATTTCCGACGTTTTTCGGTCTCACCCCCCCCGGATCGGCGGCACTGGCCGGAGGCCAGTCCAATAACCTGAATGAGACTGGGCGCGGAACGCGGGGTCGAGGGCTCTGGCCACGTCCGCACACTTGTCGGCTGTCGCGGCCCGCCACCAGAGGGGATCCTGGGGGAAGCGGGCCCTATTAATTGGCGCCCGAGGCTTCTCTCCCGGCAGCAGCTCTCCCGTCCTCGAGCTCAAGTTGTGTAGAAACCACACAACTAACGCGCGTTGTGTGGCTGGGTGGGTGGGTGGGTTCGGTGGCGCAAAACACGACACGTTGCACGCGCGCTACGAACAGCATACCTGCGCTCTGGACAGCAGGCGCTGCTGCCACGGGGGGGGGTGAAGCAGCAGGCGTCATGTGTATCTCCTGGGTGGGTGGGTGGTGGGCTGGAGGCCACTGAATGCGCGTCGTGTGCGAATCAAAAACGTCCGCTCCTGAGCCGTTCGTTGACAGTCCAGAGGCCCGCCCCATGGAGGGCCCCGGGAACCGGAAAACGGCGATGAGCTTCCGGGACCCGCTTCCGTCAGGACCCGGGTCCCGCGTGCGAAACGACGGCAGTGCTTTCAGGTCGGGCGAAATTCTGGCCCGACCTGGTCAGGTCGGGCATATCGCCCTGGGGGATTTGGGGTGATTTTTGCTATATCTCAGAAAATCAAATGATCCCAGTGCGACCCTACCTAGGAGTTGGAGCATTTAGGAAAGCAACATCTGCATCTACACCGACAGCTACATTTACATCTACACCTGCATCTACATCTACATAAACATCAACAGCGAGACTCACATCCACATCTACATCTACATCTACACCTACACCTACACCTACATCTACATCTACATCTACATCTACACCTACATCCACATCTACACCTACATCTACATCTACACTTTCGCATTGGTTTCGCTTGTGCTTTGCATTGCCTTTGCTTTTGCTCTTGCCTTTGATTTTGCCTTTGCCTTTGCTTTTGCTTTTGCTGTTGCGTTTGCTTTGCTTTTGTGTTTGTTGCTGCTTTTGTTTTGTGAATGTTTATGATATGCTGCGCTTTGCTTTGCTATGCTATGCTATGCTATGCTATGCGATGCTATACTATGCTGCGCTATGCTATGCTATGCTATGCTGTGCTGTGCTGTGCTGTGCTATGCTATGCTGCGCTGTGCTATGCTAAGCAATGCTATGTTTCGCTATGCTATGCTGCGCTATGCTATGCTATGCTATGCTATGCTGTGCTAATGCTGCGCTGCGCTATGCTGCGGTGCGCTAAGCTAAGCTAAGGTAAGCTAAGCTAGGCCAAGCTAAGCTAAGCTAAGCTTAGCTTGGCTTAGCTTAGTTTAGCTTATCAAATCTAAGCTAACGTGGGATAGGCTAAGCTAAGCTAAACTAAGCTAAGCCAGGCAAAGCTAAGCTAAGCTAAGCTAAACTAAGCTAAGATGAGATAAGCTAAGCTAAGCTAAGCTGGGTGAACCCAGGGGGCGCAACTGGGGGAACCGCGGGGCGGATGCCGGGGGAACCGCCCGGGGCGGGGAACACTGCCCGGCCCCTTTAAGCACATAGAGTAAGAACCCTTCTAGGCAGAGCCTAGGTAGGGAATACTACCCCAAACATGTTTTTTAAAGATACAAAAAAATAGCCCCCACATTATGTTTATGCTATTTTTGGATATTCCCCCTGTAGAGGGACAGGCCCGACTTCAGAGTAGGGATCCGTGGACCTGGCGAGTTGGGCGCCAGATCCACGGATCGGGCAGCGCACCGCCCGAAACACGAGGCCAGGGCCGCCTGCTTTGGCGACGGAGCGCGCCGAGTCTGTCCGGCAGCGGGCCGCGCCGCGGACCCGCGCGCCCGAATCCATGGCTGCTCTGGGCGCTTCCTCGAGAGAAACGGGAGGGGGAGTGTGAAGGGGCCCTGGGACACACAAAGAGATACACACACACATACACACACACACACACATCACAGGATTCCCCCTATTTCCTCATATTTCCTGGGCTTCCGCCCTCCCCCCCACTCAACACATGTTCCCATGTGTTCTGGGGAGTCGACGATGAATTGTGCCTGTGTGTGTTCCCCCCCCCCTCAGAGCGGCAGAACGGGGCGTCAGCGAGTCGGCCCACCTGGCCTGCTGTCCCAGCGCCTCCCCGGCGCCGGCCATCTCGTCGAGGAAGGCGCCCGGCTGCCGGGCCCGAGCCGGTTGCCAGCAGCAGCCCTCGTGACCCCCGCAGGGTGCCCAGCCCGCCCCCGGGGGATCCTCGCCCTCGGGCTTTCGGGTCGTGCGGCAGGACTCGTGCCGTGCCGCCTTCGGCGCTGCTTTCCCTCCGGACACCGCGGGGGTCGTTCCACCTGGAACGATCGGCCGTTTCCGCAACGTCAAATCTGTCAACATCGACCGATTCTGCCGAAGGCCGAAGGACCCCCAGGAGGCCCCCAGGAGGCCCCCAGGAGGCCCCCAGGAGGCCCCAAGAGGGCCCCGAGAGGTCCCCAAGAGGCACCCGAGAGGCCTCTAAGAGGCCCCCAAACAGCCCCCCTGGTGTCCCTCGTCGGACAGCTGTCAACATCAACGTCTAGGTCGGGCATGTCGCCCTACAGGCAGATTTCTGACGAAAAATCAAAGACACCCCCAAAAGTACCCCCAAAGATTCGAACATTGTCGCAACATCGTCCCCAGACTTTTTTTTACTATTTCTGCATTTTCCTCCTGTAGAGGGACGCGCCCGACTTAAGTCAACGTCTGGATCGCCGGCGGCGCTCCACGTTCGGGGGAGCGTGAGACCCGGGTTTGCCAGGACTCGGGTTCGCCATCGTTTCTTGACGACCGCGATTCGGATTTTGACGAGTAGGAGTTTCGTGGGATGTCTGCAGCGGGAGGCCTCGTCAAAATGCAGGCTCGGCCTCGTCATTTTTGTTGACGACCTCGTCGGGGATTTCCGAGTCCCCTGTACCCAGGTCTTACGTCCCCCCGACACGTGGAACGCTGGCGGGCGGGGTCTTCGACGGCCCACGCGACGAGAGCCCGCCGTGCTGACGCGGGCGTCCGGCGGCCGCTCGGGGCGAGCAGGGCCCCCCCCCCCGCGAGCGCTCTCGGGGAGGCGCCGCTGCTGGAGAGCGCAGGGAGGGCGAGGAGGAGGAGGAGGAGGAGGAGGAGGAGGAGGACGCCCTGGAGGCTGGAGAGCCGACGAGAGACAGACAGAAGCCAAGGCGCCTACACGGCGCATCGGCACGCAGAACTGCTTTGAGTTTTTTGCACTGGGACGCGTGGGCAACACGCCAAATGCCACGGAGGAAGATGCGCCAAATGCGCACCGAGAGCCGACGAGAGCGCCCGAAAATCTCGAGCCTCGAACCAGTCCCCCCCCCTCTCGCCACGTCCGACCCAATCTTTCTCTCCTCTCGGCGCCTGCTGCTGCTGATGATTATGATGATCAGGAGGAGGCGGAGGAGGAGGAGGAGGAGGAGGAGGAGGAGGAGGAGGAGGGAGGCCGAGGACGACGACAATGACGACGAAGGTGGCGGTGGCCGCGGCGCCCAGCGGCGCCTGTCCCGGCTGCGCCGCCTGTCGCGGCTCCCCCTCCGGCTGCGGCTTCTCCTGCGGCTGCGGCTGCGACGCCTCGTGGGGCCGCGGCGGCGGTGCAGGGCGCCGAGGCCGAGGCCGAGGCGGGCGGGCTCCCTGCGGCATGTCGGATGCGGAAGTCGGCTGGGATCGGAGCGCGCGTCGGGGCGGGCCTCGCGCATCGCTGCTCGGAGGGGGGCCTCGCGCACTTGCCGGGGCCTTCGTTTTCGACCCGATGTGCGCCGATGCGCCGTCCAGGCGCGGCTTCTTCCTGTCCTGTCCTGAAGGCTTCTCGTCGCCACGGCTGGATCCGCCTCGAGAAGCGGGCCAGGCGGGACCCCGGGGCAGGTCTGGCGACCAGTGTGCGACAGGATTCGGGCGGGGCAGGAGAGCCGGAGTGGGCTCAACTGGCCCTCCTCCGAGTCCCACGGGGATGGGGAGGCCCTCCTCCTCCTCCTCCTCCTCCTCCTCCTCCTCCTCCTCCTCGTCCTTCTCCTCGAGCTCCTCCTCCTCCTCCTCCTCCTCCTCGTCGTCGTCGTCGTCGTCGTCGTCGTCCTCCTCCTCCTCCTCCTCCTCCTCCTCCTCCTCCTCCTCCTCCTCCTCCTCTCCTCCCTCCTCCTCCTCCTCCTCCTCCTCCCTCCTCCTCCTCCTCCTCCTCCTCCTCCTCTCCTCCTCCTCCTCCTCCTCCTCCTCCTCCTCCTCTCCTCCTCCTCCTCTCTCCTCCTCCTCCTCCTCCTCCTCCTCCTCCTCCTCTCCTCCTCCTCCTCCTCCTCCTCCCCCTCCTCCCTCCTCCTCCCTCCTCCCTCCTCCCTCCTCCCTCCTCCTCCTCCCTCCCCCTCCTCCCTCTCCTCCTCCTCTCCTCCTCCTCCTCCTCCTCCTCTCCTCCTCCTCCTCCTCCTCCTCCTCCTCCTCCTCCTACTCCCCCCACGGGGACACCGGGAGAGCCTTGACCCCACCGCTCGACCCACTTCGCAACACGGATGGGGACGGGTGCCCTCTCCACCGGGCCTCGCGGCATCCACACCCACCTCGAGGGGGTTAGGCTGGCGGTGCCACGGATCCCTGGCGCACTGGGGATGGGGACACGTCTGACGATGCTGACGGACTGCGTCGGCACAGAGCCGTAATCGAATCGGATCGGCCGCGCCAAGATGCACCGTGACTGTCGGGTTGGGTTGGGGTGGTTATGGAAGTAGTGAGGCACGCGGCCGTATCGGATCGCCAGAACATCCAAATCGGATCGGACCGAGCCAAAGGCAAACTCGAAACCGAGTCGGACCCGGGCGAACCGGAAGAGGTCCCCTGGGCGGGCAAGCGTGCGGGCTCCTGTCCGACTGCGCGCGCGTCCTGAACCCGCGCGCCGCCCCAAGAGGCCTCAAAGAGGCCTTCCAAGAGGGTCTCAAAGAGGACAAGTCATTGATTTCCTTTGGTTGTGGGAAATCTTTTGCGCTCTCGCCTTCTTCTGTTTACCGACGCTCCAAGACGGCCCAATAGGCCCCCAACACCACCCCAAGGCGGCACAAGGGGCCACCACCTCCACCAAGATCAAAGAGAAGCCCTCCTGATCAAGCGGGGCCGAAGATGCAGGCCAAGAGCACTAGCCCCTTCGCCGGGAGGGGGCAAAGGCCCCACGGCGATGCCCCAAAAACGAAGAGCGCTCCGAAATGGAGGGCCCAGACGCGAAGAGTATAACGGCACGCCTCCGAAGCTAGGGCTGTTGTTCTTCGGCCTCGTGCCTGAGCCTTCGTGCAGTGTGTCCAGCAGCACGAGCCGCACGCGCAAGGCAAAAAGCTGACGTGCAAACCGCAACGCCACTGGACATGCACAGCGTCGATCGGATCAAATATGATCGAATCGCGAACCGCGCCCCTGTCAGCGAGGCTGGCCCCAGTGAAGGAGGGGGCGGGGAGCTGCTAGCAAAGCAAGAGGACGATGAAAACCGCAAAAGAGACTCACTGCATGGTGAAACGACACTCGAACTTACACTGGCACGGCGTCGATGAGAGGGGGAGCGAAAGGGGAGACCGTCTCGGGGGGGGAAGCATCGACCTGAAATCGGCGACACGTCGCCGATACGTCAGCGATGGGCTCCAGACAGCGAACGCGCACATTCCTGAGCGGGGACAGGGGCCCAGGCCTCGATTCGCGAGGAGTTGGCGAGTCGGGGTCGATGCCCCCCGCCCACCCCCCCGAGGCCAGTCCCCCCATTGTCGCTGCCCCCGAGTCGACGGCGGCAACGCTGAAGCACACGCAGACTGCAGACAGGCAAGCAAGCCGGGAGACAGACACGCAGACAGGCGAGCAAGCAGGCATGCAAGCAGACAAGCCAGCTGGCGGACGGACGGACAAACGGTCGAAACATACGCGCGCACGCCCAAACATCGGGAACTGCTCGATTAACCGCTCTCGGAAGATCCAATCTCGCCTCTTCCTCCTCGCTCTGCCTCTCCTCCTTCGTCCTGTCCTTACAGACAACACTAGGCGACAATCAGTATCCCCCGTCATAAGGGGAAATTGCGGAAGTTGCGTAATTAACGGTCATGCAGATGGGGGAGGTCCTTATTCAAAACCGAATCTCGCTGAACGCCTCGTTGAACTGTATGATAATGCTTCAGACACCGTGCCCGGGGCGGAAGAGAGATCCCCCGCAGAGGCCCGCAAACCGTCCTCTGGGCGGGCAGGAGGAGCAGGAGGAGGGCTCCGAAGACGAGATCCCTATGGACCTATGGATCCCAAGAGGTTCCCTCGCCAGGCCCTCGGAGCTGGGGATCCTACCCGAGATGGGCGGGGGGGGATTGCGTCAGCTTCGAGTGGGGCTCCTTTGGGATTACCCTGGGGCTCCTTCGAACTTCATCTGGCGGTACCTGTTATAGACCCTTGCTTAAGGAACCGTCACGTCGACCACCGCGGCCAGGTGGTTAACTTCATTTGAATAAGTGTGCTAAAACATTGCGGGGGAGGGTCGCGAAATCCGTCAGCGACATCCCTTTGTTGACTCCCCAGTAGGATCCACTGGAATAATCCATGTTTTCAGTGGGATCGCAATAAGGACTGCTTATGCCCACGCGAGCCCGCGTCCTCAAGATCCCTTAGACTTCTGGTTTCTTTGAGTTTCCATTGAGGTTCCTTTGGGGTTCCTCGAGGCGAAACATTTGATTGATGGACTAGTTCATATGATAGCGACACATCGCCATGGAAGGCGCCACCGAACAATCTGATTCATGCTCTTGTTATCGCTGACGATCTCGCCGGGGGGGGGAATTGCTTGCCCCCTGGAGTTGATTCCTCCGTGCCGCACCCCCAGACATGTCGGTAGGGCGGACCAGGCGTTTCGCCTGAGACTTCCTCACCATGTATTATCCCGACGCTGAAACGTTGAAGCAATGTCGTGGATGAAGGGCGGGCCGCTTTCAAAATGTGGTTCTCGTTGGAGCGCCGCGCAAATTCGTCTTGAACATTTGCAGCAACTTCAAAGCCGCGTAGGGCGGGCCGTTTTCAAAATGTGGCTTTCTCCGAAACGCCGCGCGCATTCGTCTTAAACATGTGCAACCATTTCAACGGTGGAGGGCGGCTCCGTTTCAACATGTGGCTCTCGCCTCAGCGCCGCGACCGCTCGCACGAAAAGCTTGCAGACGTTTCAAGGACTCGTACGGCTGAAGTCCCAGGAACTGTTTTCTGGCACGGAATAGTCCCGGGGACGGTGCTTTGCCACGATTTGGGATTGTCAAGACGCCACAGTGGCACTGAATCCTGGGGTTCAAGTCTAAAGAGTGGTGTTTTGGCACTGCTGAGGATTCTCAAACGGTCATCTTCCAGTGGGGTACTGCCCGCAATGAATATGAATTATTGTGAATTCTTGTCGGGACCTACGAAGGAAAAACTTGGAGGGATGGTGTATTGCAACATCGTTAATGCGCCTTGGGCTTACCGACCCCCTCCTCTTCCTCCTCCTCCTCCTCCTCCTCCTCCTCCTCCGCCCTCTTCCCTTTTCCCCCCTTCCTCAATTCTAACCCCTAATGCCTCCTCCCTCATCCCATTCTGAAGCTTGGAACTTGCACCAATCGCACGGATGGAACACAAGCCGTTTCAAAAAGCGAGTCTCGCCTTGGCACCGCGCACAATCCGTTATGGAACACAGATCGTGCTCAACATGCGGCCCTTGCGCTCGAGCCGCGGCCAGCAGTCTTGCATATTCGAAGCAATGACAAGGATGGAGCACGGGTAGTGTTCACGACGCGGCTCTCGCCCTAGCGCGGCGCACATTCCTCCTTCTCCTCCTCCTCCTCCTTCTCCTCCTCCTCCTATCCCTCCCCCTCGATCCTCCTCCTCGCTCCTCCTCCTCGCTCCTCCTCCTGGCTCCTCCTTCTCCTCCTCCTCCTCCTCCTCCTCCTCCTCATCATCATCATCATCATCATCATCATCATCATCATCATCATCATCATCATCACCACAACCACCGATTCCACCACCACCACCATCATCATCATCATCATCATCATCATCACCACCACCACCATCATCATCATCATCAGCATCATCGTCATCGCCATCGTCATCGTCATCGTCATCGTCACCATCACCATCACCATCACCATCACCATCACCATCATCATCCTCATTCTCATCCTCATCCTCATCAGCATCAGCATCAGCATCAGCATCAGCATCAGCATCATCATCTTCATCATCAGCATCATCATCATCGTCGTCAGCAGCATCATCATCAACATCATCATCACCATCATCATCGTCAGTCGCAGCATAATCATGATCATCATCATCAGCAGCAGCAGCATCGACATCAGCATCATTGATGTCATCATGACCACCACCACCACCATCAACATCAACATCATCATCACCATCATCATCATCATCAGCAGCAGCAGCATCGTCAGCATCATCAACATCAACATCACCATCATCCTTCTTCCCTCCTTCTCCTCCTCGCTCCTGGCTCCTCGCTCCTCCTCCTCCTCCTCCTCGGTCCTCTTCGCTCCTGCAGACCTCATACAAGACGGCATCATGGAGAACCAGGAGACCACAGACCCAAGCGCTTCGCCTCCCCGCCGCAGCCGCGCCTGGGCGCGAGGATGAAGGGGAACGTTAGGGGGGGGGGGGCACTGGCCCAGGGGGGGGAACATAGACTTGGAATCGACGATGTATCGCCGATAGATTGCAGGAGGGTGGGGGGAACATCGACCAGGAATAAGCGATACGTCGCCGATACATCGGCCATAGGCCCCCGATGGCGAAACCCGCTCGATCCTGGGTGGGGTGGGCGATCGGAGACCTCGGCGATCAGTGGGCGACTGGGGGTCGCTGCACCCCCCCCCCTGAGCGTATCCCCCTCTGTCGCTGCCCCTTGGCTTTCGGGGCATGACTCGGCTCTCCAACGGCCGCTCGGGACGATCTGGGCACCCCGGGAGAGCTCTCGGCGAGGCGCAGCCGCGGGAACGCACCCCGAGGCTGGAGCGCCGCCCTCGGGATCCGACGAGCACGGCGGAGGACCTGGAAACTCTGAACCCAAAGTTTCCCCGCAGCGCTGCCCCTGCGCGGGCCGCTTCTGAATGCTGGCCCGACCGTCTTGCGCGTCGCTCAGTAGCTAATTAGGCTGGCCCGTGCCCCGGACCCCCCTCTCGGCGACAGCTTCACGCGTCTGCCCGCGACCAAAAAAAGCTGCCCCTGCGCGGGGTGGGCGCGGGGGCCCGCCTGTTCTCCTCTCGCCCGAAGGGGTTCGACGATGGCGCCCCTGCGGGGCGGACGGCGGGCCGGGCCCACCTGCCTGCGCCGGGGGTCGCTGGAGGCGCCCCTGGCCCGAGGTGCCCCCAGCTTCTCGCTAAATGCTGGAGCCCCTGGGGCCCTCTGGGCCTCGTGAGGGGTGCTCCTGGGGACACCTTGGGCCAGAGGGCCCTTGTGGCAACACCCGACGGCGTGCTCCTCCTCCTGACCGTCGTCCTCGTTCTCCCGCCTCTCCCCCTCGCCGCCCTCGCGTCCTCGTCCTCCGGCCTCGCGTCCTCGTCGCCGCCGTCGTCGTCGTCGTCCTCCTCCTCCTCCTCCTCCTCCTCCACCGCCTCCTCCTCCTCGTCCCTCCTCATCCCTCGTCCCTTCTCATCCCTCGTCCACCTCGTTATCATCGTCCCACTCCTCACGACTCTACCCCGTCGTGCTCATCGTCCACCTCCTCCTCCTCCTTCTCCGCCTCCTCCTCGTCCTCCTCCTCATCATCAGCATCATCATCCTCATCAGCAGCATCAGCATCATCAGCACCAGCATCAGCATCAGCATCAGCATCAGCATCAGCATCAGCATCTTCATCATCTTCATCATCTTCATCATCTTCATCATCTTCATCATCATCATCATCATCATCATCATCATCATCATCATCAGCATCATCATCAGCAGCATAATCACCATCATCCTCAGCATCATCATCAGCAGCATCATCATCATCATGAGCATCATCATCATCATCATCATCATCATCATCATCATCATCATCATCATCATCATCATCATCAACAATAGCATCATCATCATCAGCATCATCATCAACAACATCAACATCAGCATCAACATCATCGCCATCATCACCAGCATCATCATCGCCAGCATCGTCCTCATCATCATCAGCATCAGCATCAGCAGCATCATCAACATTATCATCATTATTATCATCGTCATCAACATAAGCATCATCATCATTTTCCTCATCCTCCGGGCGGATTTGTGAGATCGGCGCTGGGCCCCCCTGGCGGCACCTCGGGCGCCGCCCCCGGCGCGCTCCGCGCGTCAGGGAGGGGGTTCCAGCGCCGATCTCAGAGATCCACATGGAACTTATAAAGTTCATGTTTATGCAACTGTTTGTTTTCGATGTTTGGCCGCCACACTTTGGCGCCCCAAAACGTGATCTGGCGAAACTCGAGTTGAAATGAGCAGGGACCGACCGCCCTGGCAGTCCTATAGGCCTACCACGCAATACTCTTAGAACGAAATAATGCTCTAATAACAGAACCAACATTCTGATAACATAAGCCTGTGTATTAAAAAAAGACCGACCCAGCTAGAAATGTTCTGACATTTCGCGCAAACCACAAAAGGTTCTCATAACATTTTTTGGTGGCCCTACAGGCAAGAGCCAAGACGCTTCGCCACTGCTCGATTAAGCGTAATCCGGGGAAACTCCAGCGCGAAAGCGGGAGGCGCGGGTCAGGAGTTTGTCCCTGACCACCATGCCCTGAGAACTCGGGGCTCCGAGGACATCTCCGACAGGCTCGGACAGCCAGATTCAGCACTCTTCTGCAGGCAGATCTCTTGCCGTCGCTCGGACGTCCATTCTCCGTACACTTCTTGCTTCCGTGCGTGATTTTTTCCAAAGATGATCCAGGGTGCTCCTCGAGGGTTCTCGCCGAGAAAAGGTGCACACGCGCGAGCGATGCCGAGGAGAACATCTCCGACAGGCTCGGACAGCCAGATTCAGCACTCTTCTGCAGCCAGACCTGACCGTGGTCGTGAACTCGCATCGGATCTGGAACGGATCGGATCGCCAGAGAATCGTCACGAATCCAATCGAAATCGGACCGCCGCGACCGGCTCCCGCTGGCCCCGGCTGATGCTGGCGAACATCGACTCGACTCGGCATCGCGGCCCCGGCTGGCGAATCGAACCGCACCGCATAGGCTCGCATTGCATCCCTGGCAGGCACCTGGGCAGCCTCCCGGGCAGGAGAGCTGCCAAAGTGCACGGGGCAGGGCTGGGGAGACGCTGAGCCCGAGCCGTCCGATCCGATCCTCCTCGTCCTCCGCCCGTCAGCACAAACAGAACACGAGAACGAACACAGAAACAAGAAACGTTCGGAGGTCCGCGCTGATTTCATCGACCGGCGCTGGCCCCATCCGTGGCGCGCGGAGCGCGCCAGGGGCGGCGCCGGAGGCGCCGCCAGAGGGGTCCGGCGCCGATCCACGAAACCCGCGCGGACCCCGGAAAGTCCGTGATTATGCTGCTCTTGTTCTCGGAGAGCGCGTAATGCAGGGGCGATACATATGGGGGGCAGCGAGTGCTGCAGAAAAGAGGCCCTGCAGGGCCCCTAAGGGGGCGTTTAGGGCCCCAAAGGGGGCGTTTAGGGCCCCAAAGGGGGCGTTTCGGGCCCCCCAGTAATTCGCGCCCAACGTTCTTCTTCGAGGGAAGGTCTGGCTCGCAAAGAGCCTCCACCGCGGCCCCTGTTCCCGCCTCCTGGCGCGCGCGCGGCGCCCCGCGGTGGTCGCCTCCTGAGGACGCCCAAGGGGGGCGCGTACAAGAGGGGGAGGGGAAACGCAGCGCATGGCCCGAGGCACGTGCGCGGCCCGGGAAGGGGGGCCAGGGGACACACTGAGGTCAGGCGAGGGGGGCATGAAATCCAAGGAGACCATGCTTGGCAGTGCGTAAAGGGGGTGGAGGGAGGGGGGAAGGCTTCTCAGAAGGAGGTTGCTCCTTAGAAGGCGCCGGCCTTACATCTATAGATAAGGCCCGCGCCTTCTAAGAAGCAGGGGTGCTTCTAAGAAGCTCTCCCCCCTCCCCCCACCCCCCTCTGCGCGTGGCTGACATGTGGGCGATGACCACGGGGGGGAAGGAGACGCCCGAAATGGGTATTTACAAAGAAAATGGGCACGATGCCCAACTGCAAAGGTTACCCCAAACCAAGAGCGGCCGCTGTTGGGCAGGCGGCCCTCTGTCTCAGGTGAGCAGCGTCCGCGGCGCCGCCGACAGCAGGTCCCGTCCAAAGCGAACAAGAACAACAGCCAGTCTTTGTAATCACCCACTCGTTCCGCACCCGTTTCGATCGCCCCGAGGCGAGACTGGGGGAGGGGGGGGGCATCATGACCCTGGCCATGCCACCCCCTCTTGGCCCCCCGAGCCTCAGGCGCTGGCGCGACGGCAGGGCGCCCGGCCGTGATACAAGACGAAGCCAGGACGAGGATAACATCGGTGAAGGGGCCCAAGGACACACAAATAAATACACACAAATAAAAATAGTATCCATATGTTCCCATATGTTCTGGGTTCCTGTCTTCCCGCCCACTTCCCATATTTCCCCATATTTTCTGGGGAATCGAGGATTGATTGTGTCTGTGTGTTTCTTTTCCTCCTGAATCGGGTGAGGATCAACCGGGCACCCCTGAAGTCCAGCGGCTCTGGAGGCCGTCTCGGGCGCCACGGCCTTCTCACGGCGCTCCCGACCGCTCTCGGAGCGTTCCCGAACGCTCTGCCACGGACTCCTCCTCGCCCCGGCCCCGTACGAAGACCCCCTCTGCCACGCACTCCTCCTCGCCCCGGCCCGGTCCGAAGACCCCCTCTGCCACGCACACCTCCTCGCCCCGGCCCCGTCCGAAGCTCCCCCCCCCCGTCCTGGACGCCCCAGACCCTCGTGCGCTCGCGCGCCGGCAGGGCGCGCGCCGGGCCCGGACCCCCTCGGGACGCCCGCGCCGGCGCTCCGCCGCGGCGGCGGGGGGGGGGCCGAGGCAGAGGGCGCGCACCGGGTAGGGGCTGCGAGGGCAGCCCTGGCGAAGTCGCTTTTCGCGTTGCTGTTTCGTTCGAACCACCGTGGCTCGAAGCTAAGCGGTGTTGTTCGCCTTCGTTTTGCTCTTCGTTTTCCTTCGTTCTGCATTCGTTCTGCCTTTGCTGCGAAACGAAATCGAAACGAGAACGGTCCGCGAAATCGCCGAAACACCGTTCAGCTCGAGCCCTAATATCCACATCGGGAAACAGAAGGCCGCTGGGCAAAACCCAGAACTCCGCACGGACCGACCTGCGAGAAGCAGACTCGTGCTATTATGAGCCGTGGTCTGAACAGCAAAACGGCAATGCAGCCTTGACATGTCGGTTTTGTTGGGGGCCTGCTCTCTGGGCGCTGCCCTGGGCATGCCGACACCTTTCCGCTGGACCTCCGGCAGGACCTCCGCCTCGGAAGGGAAGGCTGCCCGCACAACTCGCGCCCAGAATTCGAAGTATAAGCCCCGGCCTCCATCGGAGCTGAGACAACGAGCGCGCTCACACTCCAGGCGGAGGGAGCGCAGGCCCCAGAAAACAGACAGGTGAGGAGGAGGAGGAGGAGGAGGAGGAGGAGGAGGAGGAGCAGGGAGGAGCAGGAGGAGAGGAGGAGGAGGAGGAGGAGGAGGAGGAGCAGGAGGAGTAGGCGGTCGCCGGGCCGACCGCAGACCGTGGCCTGCCCCGGGGCGGGTCGTGGGCCTGCCCCGCCCCCCCCCCGGGAGGAGGAGGAGGAGGAGGAGGGAGGAGGAGGAGGAGGAGGAGGAGGAGGAGGAGGAGGAGGAGGAGGAGGAGGAGGAGGAGCAGGAGGAGGAGGAGGAGGAGGAGGAGGAGGAAGGAGAGGATCGAGGAATCGAGGAGGAGATGGAGGAGAAGCAGGAGGGAGGATCGACGCTCAGCGCCGCACCCTCGCCGGGCCGCGCTGCGGTCGCCGGGCCGACCGCAGACCGTGGCCTGCCCCGGGGCGGGTCGTGGGGCCTGTCCCGCCCCCCCCCCCCCCGGGGAGGAGAGGAGGAGGAGGAGGAGGAGGAGGGAGGAGGAGGAGGAGCTCCTCCTCCCCTCCCCTCCCCTCCCCTCCTCCTCCTTCCTCCTCCTCCTAGATCCTCTCCTCCTCTCCTCCCGGATCCTTCCTCCGGATCCTTGAGAAGGCTCCAGGATCGGGGAGTCCTGCGGTCTGAGCCCCCCCTGGCTCGGAAGAGAAGGCCCTCCGCCAGAGAGCATGGCGGGCGCCTTTGCCGCGGTCGCGGTCCCCGAATGAGTCCCCGAAGCCCTTGCCGCCGTCGCGGTCCTCGAGCTGAGGAGGGGGAGGAGGAGGATCGAGGATCGAGGATCGAGGATCGAGGAGGGTGGCCAGCGCCGCCGCCGCCAGGATCGTCGTCGTCGGAGGCGGGGCGGGCGTGTGGGGGCAGGCGGACGGGGGCCGAGGGAAAGGTATCCGTCGGCACGTGCTGCCCGTGGGTGGATGGATCCTCAGACCGGGTTGAGCACGCATCGATCCAGGTGCCCATGTGTGGGCCACCACACGGGCAAGTTGGTGCAGACTGCTCGGCTCCCGTTCGGCACCGTTCGGAGCTCGGCTCACTCGCCTCCGCGTAGGGGGGCAGGACGAGGCTGTAGAGGCAGACGAGGGGGAAGGAGGCATGGAGGAGGAGTGGAGTGGAGTGGACCCCGCTGCGGAATGCAAGTGCCCAAGTTAATCGCTGTAAGAACGACTCTCAACCGCCTCGCTTTTTATCTCGGCTTGGCTGAGGACCCTGGACTGTTTCCCAACCCTGATCCGATCAAGATATTCTCTGCGAGCCTTGGTAACTCTCTGAGGCCAAAACAACGAGCACCCAGGGACCGCAACTGTTTTTCAGCGACAGCCCCACAGAGGCTGCAAAACCAAACCCCGAGAGTGCTCTGGACGTTCAGGGTGTGATACGAACGGGCCCAACCCCACATAACGTGCATCCTAGAACCTACCATCGAGAACATAGTGATTCCATGAACGTTCGAAAGCATGGGGCACTGGGTGTCCTACCAGGTTTTCACGAGGGCAGCATCAGCAGGAGGGGGAGGGGGCCGCTCACGGGTGTCACGACCCTTTTTCCCCTTCCTCGCCTCCACAGCTCCCGAAGATCTCATGCTGTTTAACGTTGACTGGAGCAATCAGATTCGTAACAAGTATGCTCGCCGCTCCTGTTGCGCCACTCTCGCACGATCGGCCTGGGGAATCTGTGCGAGCTCGGCAGCATGACCCGCCAGCACGTCTGCGACTGCATTGCCCACCATAAGGGTGGACTCTCCTTTGTTCTCCGCTAAATCCTTTGCCGTCGCATGCGAATGTGTGAAGAGCGCCACGATCTACCGACCTGCCGCCAACCTCCTTCCAGAGATCGGCGTCCTCGCCCGAGGGATGGCGGCGCAGGCCACTGTGCCACCCTGGTGCCGCCATGTCGCAGTCCGTCACGCACACCAACTGTCCAACTGACCCCGAAGCGCCACTGCAAACGCCTTGAGTTCGCCTCGCGACACCAGTTGGCGATGCCCGCATGAGCCTCGGTGCCTTGCATGCTCGCGACGGCCGAACCCTCTCGTCTGAGCTTGGCGGAGTTGGCGTGGGCGCCGCCCGATGCGCCCCCGCAAAGCAAGACGGGAGCGCCCCTAGCACCGTGCCCAAAGCCTCCTTAGCCGAACGAAGTCAAACCTGCAGAGCCCCAGTTGTCGGCCGATAGTGGATCTGGGACTTGAGCCCGCGAACTTGGAAGAAGCCCACGTAACACAAATCCCTCGTCAACTGCAGATTGAGCAATCGCCTGTGGGACCAACAAACGGAATCTTCATAAATCTTATATGTGGTTCACATGTCCATGTCCGATGTGGAGCACTTTCAGTATCCGTGCTACATCTAGCACGCTGAGCTGCTCCACGTTACGGTCTGTGCATGTCCATTTTCCTCTTAGTGGGCCAGGAACCTCTCGTGGCGATATTAAGCATGATCTCCGATCGCCGTGGGCCCTGCTCATTATGTTGGCGCAACGGCAGACGGTCGAGGCTGCGTCGGTGCCGTTCGAGGCCGCTGCCACAATGATGCGATGCCGCGTGCTTTCAAAACCGTCGCTGCGCTGCATGCTGCACACCGTGAGAAGTTGGTGTGTGTGTGTGTGTGTGTGTCGAGCCACTTGTTGCCCGTGTAGATGTTTGTCGGGGAGATGCCACTCCTCGGTCGCGCAGTGGTCGCCCTGGAATGCCCTGCAACGCGGAGTGAGCGATTGCCAGTCCAACCGTGACGACTGCAACACCGTCGCCGAGATCGGTCCTTGAATTTTCTTGATTTGTTCACGCGGAGGCTGATCTTGCAACGAGCGAGCAATAGACGGTCACGCGTGCAAAACACTCTTGCGCAAAATCGCGCGAGCCTGCCATGCCTTCATCCACGTGCCAATCTGCTTGACAGGGTACATGATGGCTGGGTCGCCCTGCGGGGCGCGCAGCTCGAGCAATGTCGTCAGGCGCCGCCTAGCCGCTGGCGCAGCACACGCGCGTGCCAATCGTCGCCTGCTATCCGCAATCTGAGCTCCAGACATTCCATGGATCTGAAATCTACGCGTGCCTGCCGCTTGCCCCCTGTCTTTTCACTGCGCGACATCTGAGGATATCGTTTCGAAGCCTTGGCATATATTTTCACGCTCATGTTCACGATCTTGTGTTCATCATGGCGTTGAGTGTGCATGCTCGGCCTCTCCTTCTACGGCTGAACTCCACGCCAAGGTGGGCTGCCTGCCGAACCGCTTGAAAATGAACTCATCGAATGCGAACAGATCGAACGACAGCTTGGGCATCGGCCCGGTTACTGACTTCGGGGGGGCCTGTAGCTTCTGCACCTCCAGCTCTTTGCAGGTGCGCGCGGTGCAATCGATCATGCTGTGACGCGCCTGCCGCCTGGAACCAACAATGGCCTGCGATGCAACGTCGACCCACAATCGACGACCCATGCATGGGTTGGCTTCAGTAGCCCTCTTCATAACGAAATGTGACGTGATCCGCGCAAAGCGCGCCCCAGTTCCGAGGCCTTGGACAACCGAATGCGACGGCGCAAATGGGTCGGTAGCGGCGCCGCCCTGCAACAGCGCGCGACAAACCATGCACGGTAAAGCTCCAGGTAAAAAAATGATTGGAGGAAAATGCAACCTGGGCGCCGCCCGCGCCAGCAGCTGCCGCACTATGGCGTCGTGAAGCTCCTGCGCATATGTCACGGAACGTCCATGGGCCACGCCCATCATATGCGCCAGCTCCTCGTCGATGGCCCGAAAATACGCTTCCTGTAAACAACTGTTCCCCGCCGCCGCCGCGCCCGGCGCCTCTGCGCGCTGCTCTGGCCAGTCTCGCAAGAGAGGTTCACGAATGAGACCCCAAAGCCGCCCGAGCATGGAAACGAGACCGCTGGCCCTGTCCTTGGTGACCACCACCTTCGGGATGAGCCTGCTCGCGATAGGCGCGGTCTGAACGGGCCGCGCTCGCTGCCGCCCCACTGCCGCGAGGATCAAGGCCAGCTCGAAAATCGCACTGATCGGGGGCCGCTGGTAGCTCACAGGTGTGAAATCGTCCGCTCCGAGGCCAGCCGTCGCTTTCGCCCCGCCTGCCGCGCGGTAGATGTCGCGAGCCGAGATGGCTTCGAGCGGTTCCACAATCGCGGCCTCTTGGACGCCCCGAAAGACGTCGATGGCGGCGGCCCTGTCGACGGGCTTGGGCGCCCAGGGGCGCTGGCGCGTCTTCTCCCAATATGTCCCTGGGATGGAATGCCACGCTCTGTCCGTCGAGAACCCCATTTAAAGGAGGAGGCTGGACTTTGAGCAAGCGGCGCAGGACCCCCCAGGCCGCGGGCCCCGCGACCCCCGTCTTGAACTCCGAGAGCGAGCGAGCGATGGCAGCTCGTTGCGCCCGCCCCTTCAGCCATCTCGCTCGCTGACTCCGCGATTGGCTCAAGAAGTGGTAGAGCCCGTCGAAGGGGATGATGAAGCGTCTTAAGCTACCGGGCCAATGGAGAAGATCTCCCCCTTCGCGCAAGAGGGCGTGAACTCCGACACGTCTATCCGTGCCCAGGCTCCAGCGCGCCGTAAAAAATGAACAAGCTGCTTGGGCCCGTTCTGACGCAACTGTTCCGGTCAGACCTTGTGGCGCCGCGCGCTGTCTGGTCCGCCATTGCGCCGCGCGATCTCGCAGTGGTAAATCCTTTGGATGCAGTGATTGACGCGGCGGTTTGAAAATGAACCTCGGCCCCGGGCCCCGTGGGACTGAGCCCGCTGCCGGCTGCTGGCCACGATGCTGAACCGCGGCGGCCTCCGCGGTCTGCGCCCGCAAAGCGCGCGGCCCCGACGCGAGCGGGCAATTGTCTCGTTCGAGCGAGTAGGCGACGGCGTCGCGCGGCGGAGGGGGGGCGGGAGCGAGGGGGAGAGCCCCCGACGCGAAATCCATCTGGACCCGGCACTCATGCCAGAGCTGCTCTGGGACATAAGAGTCGGGGGCCACGGGGGTCGGTTCATCGGGCGCCCAATTTTACTTCAGTGGCGTATATTGTTGGCATCGGCGCTCGACTGAATAAATCCAGGAGGGGGCGCGGCCCGCCTGCGAGCAGCCGTTCCAAACCTGCGCCAGCGCCAGACTGTCACTCTCATCGCCGAGCACCCGCCCGCCCGACCGCGGAGCGAGCGCCTCGGGCGGGGGGGGGGAGCTGGGCGCGAGCAGCAGTTGCGGCGGCGGGCAGGATCGGCCCCGACGAGAAGTTGGGCTCATCGGCCCACGGGTCCTCCTCGTTAAAATCAGGAAAGTCAAGGCCCTCGAAATCAGGATCGGGGCTCTCGCACGGCCCGCCGCGCCAGGCTTGGCCTTCCAGGCCGCCGGGTTCGGGGGCGTCGACGCGGCAGGGCCGCCCTGGCCCTGGGGCAGAGGACGAAACTGGGCGCTCCGTTCGACCTCGAGACAGTCTCCGGACGGCCCCCCGTGCTTCTCGCGACGCCGCGCGCGCGCCTCAGCTCCGGCAGCGCTCAGCTGAGCCGTGCTCTTGCTGGACTCGGGGCCCCCTGCAGGCTCAGCGCGCAGCCTGGGGCACCGGGGGAGCTCGGCTGGGAGCTCGAGCACTCGCGTCTGCAACTGAAAAGCAGAACTCCGCAGGCCCACGATCAAGCCGCAGCGCGGCATCCATGGCGCGCCCTTGACCGCGGCGGCGTTTCGAAGGAATGGGGTAGCAATTTCGCTGACAACCAGACGATCGAGCATCGTATCAGGTCAAGTTTTTTCCTGCGAGCG